GCTACTAGTAACAAGTGCATCGCTTCTAGTAACAAGTGCCTTACTAGTAACAAGCTGTGTGTCAGTTGTGAAAGGCACGTGAAGCTGAGCACATTTCTTGGACAGCCGTTCGCTTCAGCCGCCTTCGCCACAGGCCGACTCTGGTGACCGAGAAGCGGATGACGTGTGAGGAACGAAAAACGTGTAAAAAAACGCGTGCAGAAAGTCGTTCTCGAAACTCGAAACCTGCAAACCGGAGCTGGGGTCTGAGACTCCATATTCTTTGGAAGATTGGTATTGGCTTGGATTTTGACGACATCCCGGTGGGTTCTTTGACGGTTTGTTGCATGAAATAAATCGACGGACACAGATCCCCACGGGGCCGGTCGCATCCGACATGAGGCCGCTTGTAGGTTCTGAAGTGGCTCGCACTGATGGTTCAACGCAAATGAATGTAGCTTTAGAGAACACGTTCTCGAAAGCCCTTTGAATTTCAGCGTTGGCTCCAAGTTTTGTGCGCTGAAATTGCGGCGCCATGGGACGCTTCGAAACAGGTGGGTAGGGCCGCGCTTCACATCCGTGCACGAATTACGATTTAAGACGCATGTTTGTTGCATTGGCCACTCAAATGCATTCAGTATTGACCACTGCGGCGTTCTCCATGTTCCTTCGGAGTTTCAGCAGAGCTTCGTCATGTGCAGGTGATAGAGATACAACCAGAGAGCCATGTCCTGATCGCATTATCGAGGACTCAGCGGTTCTTCGAAAGGAGTAGGAGTAGGAGTAGGAGTAGGAGAGCAGCAGCAGCAGCAGCAGCAGGAGCAGCAGGAGCAGCAGTAGGAGTAGTAGTAGTAGTACAAGTAGTAGAAGTAGTAGTAGTAGTAGTAGATGCATTCACAGCGCATCGGTGTTTGTAGTAGTGAGAAAGGAGTCTGTGAACTAAGGCACTGGGATGGGAAGGAATATTATGCAGTCCCCACACATGCTTTACCATTCAAACAACGGTTTGGTATATGTTATTGGCGACGTGCTTCTATGCCAGCAAATACACAATGAGCCTTGCAGTTGAGGCTTTGTTAACGAGATTCGAGCATCGGTCCAGTCTTGGATGAGTTCCCAATGAAGTCAAAACACAGAAGAGACTTGCACTTGTTTGCCAGAAAAGGGCCTGGAGTGAAGTAAATTGGACTTTGCAGCATGTCTTTGCAGGACTTGGGCGGTGCCTTTGGCATGGGTGCTGTCGGAGGCGTCAAAGGAAATAAAGGAAACAAAGCTTTTTTGATGCTCATGTTGTAGAGCAAGTGCACTACGTAGTGATGTACTAGGGCAAGTCCCAAACTGCTTACCTCAAAAGATACACTGCATCAGACAATGGATCAAGTAGATGCTTCTTTTGCTGATCCTATACTCGATTTATGTGGCTTCTTGCGTCAGGAATATCAAGATGTCTAAAAGACTTGAATCGCGAGTCTAAAAGTCACCAGAACCACTCAAATGGGAGGCTTCTTATGGCACTTCGGCAGGGGCGCGCGGAATTCCCCGCAGGGGGACAGGCGCGTGCAAGATTGGTGATGCTGCTCACTGATGTTTCGTTCGCCACACGGTCAAACAGCCTCAGCGTGATTTCACAGGCTACAAGGCGCGTTATACAGCGCAAGAAGCAGGCAGGAGATGAAAGCCTGACAGATGGTGAGATGCATATAGTTCTGTATAGATTTCACCGGAAACTGCTAGATAATAAGATAAGACGTGTCATCACAAGGAAATGTATTTTGCCAGTCTAGAGATCACAGATTGAGAAGCGGTTAATTCGTCCATGTTTGTTCGATACAACTTCGTGAGCTGTTTTCAGGGCTCCCATTTTGGGAGGGAACTTCGCGGTTTGGGTCCAGCACCTACGTACCAAGCTGTTTGAATTTTTGGATTACTTCGTCCACTCTGCTTTTTCAGTTTTGTTCACCTTTTTTTTTACAAAACTCTCACCTGAGGGTGGAACTACTAGCTTCTTGTTACTACTAGTAAGGCACTTGTTACTCGAAGCGATGCACTTATTACTACTAGCTTGTTGTTTCTAATTGAAACTCTCATCTGAGGGTGGAACTTTCTCCTGTTTTGATTGCTCTTTGCAGTACATCCGGAGGCGCGACACACGGGCAGACTTGGTGAGCTTGACTCACCGAAACTCTGATAGGCTACTAAGAACAAAGGGCATCGATACTAGGGCCTCCTGTCCTTACTACTAGGAGCAAGGACGCTACTAGGGGCATCGCTACTAGTAGCACGGGCATGCTACTAGTAGGTAGTAGCCACTGACATTAAGTAGCTATTTGTTTGGACTCAGAAGGGCCCAGGCAATCTTCAACGAAGCAGCCTCAATTATTTGCAAGCTTTATTTGTGTGGCAATCTAAAATGCGCATCACGAACTGTGCCGTCAGGCAAGATGATCACTGGAATGCCATTGCATCAGGCTTCCTGACTGGTGGCGTGCCCCTCTTTGCAACAGGAGCAGCATGGAAACAAACAACAGGCGGTCGAACAGAATGGAACAGTGCCGAACTTGTTTCTTTTCTTGCTTGTCATCCTAACTAGGGATTCGTGCTTTGATTCTTCTCAAAACGTCCCAGACAACCAGGATTGCTGCTGGATCAGGAGTCATACTTGAGTAGGACAACTGTTTGAAATGGATTGTTGCACTGCTGCCGAGTATTTTGTCTGCAGCAACGTCTTGCTTATCGGTGTACTGCTTAGGTTCTATCGGTACTTGTTGCTGATCTTCAGTCTGCATTTGCTCAGCCCGGTTCAACCAGAGTCATGAAATCGCTCTTGTTTCCTTCATGTTTGGCCACACTTTTTGCACTGCGTTGGAGGCAGTTTTCCTTCCGCTGGCATACTACTTGACACCTGCAAAAAAGAACATGTGGTTTTGGGTTATGTTCCTCCATCTTTCGTTCAAAGCTTCCACGGCACAGGTACTCGCCGCCCGAGGCGGTTGGAAAGCTGCCAGCCGCAACGCGGTCATCGGTGTGGAAGCCGAGGGAAGGATGAGAGGAAGGACGAGCAATGCCCAGGAAACCCTGGGTAGAAACCCTGTGGTTTCTTTGATTTTAGGCAAAGAAACTATGTCGGTACACAAATTGAAAGAAGTGAGCGCATCATCACTTTTTGAAATCGATGTCTCCGGGACGTCTCCCGTCGTTTCCAAGGCCTAGGACTTTTGCAGTCTTTGTTGGTTTTGTGTGTGTGTGTCACACTGTGTGTCCTTGGCACAAGGTGGTGTGCTCCTGGCCATTATCGAAGGTGTCGCAGCCCTCCTAATGAGGCGAGTGGAAGGGTGCAAGAGGTCTAGGAGGCCTGTAAGGGGTCAATGCAAGGACCTAAAAGCCCTCCGAAGCACTTCTAGAAGTGTTCGACAAAAGAAAGCAAACAACTTCGCGCAGGTTTGAGAGCAGTACTAACGAGTATTTCTTCAGGCTGAGAAGAAAGCAGTTGGATATTTGGAAGGTTTTTTGGAACGCCTAAGGCGTATCAATCGTTTCCTACGAGTAGGAAAATATCTCTACGTCTCCAAATCATGTGCGCTCTACCGCCAAATCCTGTGCGATTCCACAGGGGTAGAGGGCGCTACTAGGCAAAGGGCATCGCTACTAGGAGCAAGGACGCTATTAGGGGTTCCTGGCATGGCTACTAGGAACAAGAAGCTATTAGAAACAAGAATGACATAAAATTTACTTAGAACCTTGCGGAGGTCAGCATCAGAGACACCGAGGGAGATGCACATGCGTGAGAAGCAGATGAAGGAGCGAGTGACTTGATTCCCTTGTCTTCCGGTGATAGACCTCAGAATCTAGGTGGTTTGGCTAGCGGCTATCATTGGTCCTGTTACTGGGACCTTTGGGAAGCTTGGAGCAGTCAATTAGGTGGAATACAGCCACCAGAAAGATTGAATCAACTTGTTTGGATGTGCTTCTTCTCAAGCAATATCCCAAAGAAAGGAAGCCTTCAGCCTCCAGAAACAAAGCTACAAGATTCCCCCCTTGTGAGATGGGGGTTCGCGATGGCCTCCAACCTAGTAGCGATGGCCTTCTGGCCTCCAACCTAGTAGCGTCCGATCGCTCCTAGTAGCCATGCCCTTTCTTACTATTAGCGATGCCCTTGCTCCTAGTAGCGTCCTGTCCAAGGAGAACGGCGGTTGGCCCACTTGGCTTAAAAGTCCCGTGGGCGCCAGCCCACAGCCACAAGCGTAGCGTAGCGTTGGAGCTGACCGACTGACACGTGCGGAACAGTGATCTCCTGGCACAAAAAAAAGAGAGAGAGAAAAAAAACATGAGAAACCAAATCAAAATGTCTTGTTTTGGAATAATTTGGCTCTAGAATTGAAGCAGACGAAATGAGCTGAAGAGAATGATGAGTTCTTGTTTCAAAAGGCGTTCTTATCAAATCCTCAAATCCAGAGAAGTCCCAAGGCCAAAGGCTTTTTGTTGAAGGCTTCCAATGCCTCACACAATGCGTAGCACGACAGGAAGACCTTTCGTCACGTTTTTCTTTCCTGACCAATGATCCACATGAGCCATGGTCAAAACTAGGTATTATCAACCATTACTAGGGGATGGTCATCCATTGGATAATGGGGATTTATAATGACCATTATAAGGGATGGGATGACCCAAATATACTGAGTTTTGACCATAGCTCACCTAGACCTTCGTCAGAGTCTTCTTGAAATTGGAAGCTCCGTTTCGATCATTCAGATCATTTTGTTCGCTTGGCCGCTTGGCTCAAGAATCAGCATTTTCATGAAACTATAGGCCTCCGGGCCCGTGGGGACATGGAGTGTTAAAAGGAAGGAAGCAGCGGAGTGAGTTGAGTTGTTATTGTTCAAACACGTCCTTGTTACGAAGCCAGAACGACAACTTTGGACAGAAATGGAAACTAGGAGCAAGGATGCTACTAGGGGCTCCTGGCCTTACTGCTAGGAGCAAGGACGCTACTATGGGCTCATTTAGTAGTTACGTATGCCGCCACAAATAGGTTGTGCCATTGGAGCAAATCCCAAGATCAGAGTGGCTGAAGCCATGATTACTCCACAACTTCTCCAACCTTCTTGGTAAAGTGCGGTGCTCTTTTAAAGATAGTAAGGAGAAGCCAAGCCTAATTCTTAAAGTGTGCCTAGTAGTCCATTCTGCTTTTCAGAGGTATGGCTGAGACCATTGTCTTCTTGGGTGTTGCACGCATCCAGGATCAGGCGAGAGGAGTTGAGAGACTTTGAGCCAGTTGTGAAGACAATTCAAGCCAGTTCTCAGTCACACGGGCGCACTGTTCATGCATTATGTATGCAACGTCTAGAGATTATATAGGACATATATATGGCATTTATATGTCATGTTACATTTTTGAGCCAGGGTACGGTTCCAGGGGTTAGTGCTTAAGCCTTTTGAGATGGCCTCCATCCTACGAAGAAAGAAGAACACTGAGCATTGCTGTGGAAGGAGAGGATGCCAAATTAATCGCTTGTGTTTGTGCGATCACTTGGAAGGCCGTCCTGGCCACTTGCTATGAAAAGAACGTTTTGAACGAGGAGAAAAAGGCATATGAAACAGCACTGGTCGGCTTCTCAGTTGGAGAGAGACTTAAGTTTCCGTGACAATCTAGAAACCAAATCATTAGTGCGAGCGCTTCTTCAAAGAAGCTCCCACCCTCAAGTGGGGGAGCTTCCCTGAAGGAGCGTGAGCTATCCTGTGTCCATGTCTAGAAGCGTCCTACTTAATAGCTGCTATAGCTACCTCTTCTAGCGCTACCCCCCCGGCTTTAAAAAATAGTGTGTATATAATGTGTATATATATTATGTGTTTTCTGTATATATACTAGTACAACAAAACCTATCTTGAAACCTTTCGTCAGTCTTTTGTGTTCCGTGTTCGAGGCCGCAGCCTTGGATCGAGCGAAGACAGCTTATCCAGGATGGAGAGAATCTCGTCCTTTGGACAGTGATGTCCAAAGCTTAAGAGGCAAAGAAAGGAGCAAAAGAGCAAAGCTTGTTCGCTACTAGGAGCAAAAGGCATCGCTACTAGGAGCAAGGACGCTACTAGGGGCTCCTGGCCTTACTACTAGTAACAAGAAGCTACTAGGAACAAAGTAGCTTATAGCTTCCTTTAGACCTTTAGACCTTTGGACCTTGATCAAAGAAGAAAAAAGGTCTAAAGGTCTAAATGAGCCCCGTTCGTAGCGTCCTTGCTCCTAGTAGTAAGGCCAGGAGCCCCTAGTAGCATCCTGGCTCCCTAAAAAGAAAATATAGTACTTGTCTTCAAAGGTCCAAAGGTTAAAAGTTGTTTATTTTCATTGATGTAAAAAAGCAAACACATAAAGTAGACCTGTTGTAGACCTGCCTTGGGCATTCGACTTAGCCGCCAACAGTTGCGATGACGCCACACCAACGTACAATCATGCACCACTTCTGTGTGTGATTTTCTGTTGTTTTCTTCCATCCAAAAGACTTTGGTCTTTTGAAGCCAACTGACGCATGGCCGAGATGACCTTTGCAGTTTGGATTGGGGATCGGCTTAAGGGCACTTGTGTTGGAAAAACATGATGCTGTAGAGGTATCCAACTGAGGTTTTCTCATTCAAGCGCAGCAGATGAGAAGCCACAAAAGGGCGGTTGGAGTTCTTTTAGGAAAGGAAACCAGAACACTTGAGGCTGCTGCCAACTAAGCCATACATTTGGGCCGACAGCGGGTCAGTGCTTGTCGAGACCTGCCGAGGACCGTGCCAGTTGTGAGAGTGGTATCCTTTACACTTTTGCTGACCCCCAGGCGTGGTCGTTTCGAAAGTTAACTACATTTGGAACAACCACTTTGGCAAATGTCACGTTTGCAATTATTATCAAATCAAACCACGTGGGTGGTCGGCAGGCAGGTGCTGATAGGTTATGATCCGGCCCTGGAGGCTTTATGTTTGCTTGCAGTTGGCATCCGAGACGCAAGGCTCCAAGGAGAATCTGTCTACGGTGTCAAGCAATAATCAAGTAAAGGAGATACAGTTACAGTGTAAAGGATATCTACAGTGTCCAAAAACAAACGATATCCTTTACTTGTATTCAATCTCTGTGTTCAAGCGCTATACAATGTCATGGATGCCCTTGCTGCGTTGTAAACTGGGATGCTGATTTACCAAGTGAGGCTGACTACCCTGAGAGAGTAGCTGTTCAGCTCCTGCGAGAGCTTGCAGACAAGGCAGGCCACTTGCAACTTGCTTTTTCAAGAAACAGGCAACCCAGACCATTTCGACCTTGTTACAATCGTTGTTGTGTGTTGGTAAACAAAACGACAGGAGTTTGTTTGAAGTTCGCTCTACAATGCACGGCAAGCCAGGCAAGGAACTCACAGGGCGACGAAGTGCTCCTGGAGGCCAGAAATTGTTCCTAGTAGCGTCCTTGCTCCTAGTAGCGATGCCAGGAACCCCTAGTAGCTTCTTGTTACTAATAGCAAGAATGCTCCTAGTAGTAATGCCGTTTGTTACTACTAGCGATGCCCTTGTTACTAGTAGCTTCTTGTTACCAGTAGCAAGGCCAGAACCCCCTAGTAGCGTCCTGCTCCTAGTAGCGATGCCATTTGTTCCTAGTAGCGTCCTTGCTCCTGGTGTCTTCCGTGCTTTCTACTTCTTTGGTTCCTTTTGTCTTGAGACCTATTTCTGTTCTAGCTTGCTTCCTTTTTTTTGGGAAGATTATGAGGCATTATGAGATATGGACAAAAGAGATGACAAAGTGTTGGGGGTGTTTCTTCTTTTCAAAGCCTGGAGCATTCTAGGTTGGTCTGCAAAGAGTTCGACAAATTAAATAAAGGTCAATTGGACGTGTCAGCTTCGGCTCCACAAGCATTGCTCATTTGTGGAGCACGTCCACCTCGTTCCATCGTGTTCCAGTGTTCGATGTTGCACACGTTGCTTCTTCAGGTAACAGCACTGATGAGTCACGCTTCTTTGTGTTTGAATGTGTGTCAAACAAGTGCTGGAGCTTTGTCAGAGGCCAAGAGTGGGTCCTTGTCCAAGCCTTTGCGGAAGTTGATGACTGATATGATGAGGCGGTCATTGCTTGTTCAGTCGTCTGCTCTCGCGCTCGTTTCTATTTTCGGAATCAGGACCTACAACGATGCAGGGGCTCATGACAAGACCACAGAGGCCCAGCTTGCTGAAGGGTCAAAACAGCCCTCTGGGCTACAAGCTAGACAGACACTCCTTTGAATTTTAGTGTTGAACGGAAAGATATCAAGCATAATGTGGCATCGTGATACTGGCATGTACGGATTGACCGAACTTCATAGAGCCAAAAGGTTCTTGGATGTATGTGGACCGCAAAAAGGAACAGAAGGAAGGGATGGTCCAGACTTTTGATACCTTGAATCCTCTAAGATTTGGGATTTAAGATCTTGTGCCGCCATGTTTACCTGTACCATTTGCCGGTTGAGGTCCGAGAGAAGGTTGATCAACTTAAAGGCATCATGCAGGACGGGTTTTTGCAGAATCTCATGGCCAAAGCGTTCCATCTAGTAGCAAGAAGCTACTAGGAGCAAAGGGCACCGCTGCTAGGAGCAAGGACTCTACTAGGGGCTCCTGGCCTTACTGCTAGGAACAAGAAGCTACTAGTAACAAGGCCATCAGATGTTTCAATCACCCTTCACTCTGTCACACGTTTTGCTTGTGGAAGGCAAAACTGCCTTGGAATGTGAGACTTTGCACGATGGAAGGGTGAGCGCACAAATCACTACAGTGGCATCCTCGATGTGGTTATACAGGACAATGTAAAAAAGATCCTCGAGACACACGTAACCCTGGAATCTCTGGAGCCGGCAACTTAGAGGCAACACGAATGAAAGTGTCAAATATCACTGACTGTATAGAGGATAGAGTCAAAGCCATGCATTTGCATGGGCCGGCGTGATCAAAGAAACGAGTTTGTGATAGTTTGGAGCATAGTTGTTCCACTTGTCGGTTTATCGTGCACTGGCACTCCCACTCTCAGCATTCTCATCGCCAAAGGCCACCTGACCACAAGCTCTCTACAAAGCCCATATCAGGCTCATCACCTCCAACGCAAAAACACATTGAAGCTGTTCCTGAGGGATTCAAGCTCCTCTATGAGTTCACAAGCCGCTTGGCATCCTCAATGGGCCGAGGTGACTTTGTATGCTTCGTTTTGGCAACCTTGAACTCTTGGACAAGGGCGAGAAGAACACAAGCCCTTGAGTTGAAGCTGATAGGAAACCACATCCATTTTGCACATTCTAAGAGAACAAGTCGAAAGTATCTAAAGGGTTTTATGTTTGGCCAGACCACTTCCTTCATTACTTGACAGCATCGTGCAAGTTATATTCGTGCATCTCGATAGTTCGTTCTATCTTCAACATCCGTGCAACAGCGCACAAGCATCCAGCGCTCAGAAGTGCTTTATGTTGGTTGTGATTGTTGTTGTTGTTGTTGTTGTTGTCGTCGTTGTCGTTGTTGTCGTCGTTGTCGTTGCGTTGGCGTTGTCGTTGTCGTTGTCGTTGTGGTTGTCGTTGTCGTCGTTGTTGTTGTTGTTGTTGGTGTTGTTGTTGTTGTTGTTGGTCCCTTTTCAGTTTTTTGTTGGGAAGACTTCAAGTGAAGCGTGTTCCATTTCCGTCGCAGGTTTTCTCCATGTCGTTGTAGGGTTCAAGTAGAATCCATCGGTTCTGAAAACTTCTGACTGGGCCGACCCACAACTGCAAAGTATGCCAAAGCCTGAGGCTGTTTAGAAAGGTTTAACGTTGTAGAGCAACAAGCCTACCGCAGGATGTCAAACAAGTAGGGTGACCTTTGCAATGCGGGTGTGATGCGCAAACAAAGCTGAACATATTTTCTAACAAGAAGCTATTAGTAACAAGTGCCATGCTAGTAGTAACAAGTGCCTTACTAGTAGTAACAAGAAGCTAGTAGAAACAAGAAGCTATTGTTACTACTAGTAAGGAACAGGACCCTGGATAGATCATGCTTCTTCAAGGAAGCTCCATCCGCCCTCAGGCGGGGGATTTGCCTCAAAGAAGCGTGAGCTATCCTGCGTCCTACCTAGGAGCTTACCCTACTTAATCAAGTAAGAGCGGGCTTAAAAGGAAAAAGAAGAAAACAAGGGTTAAAAAAGAGTTAAGGCTCAGGCAAAGTTTGCTACTAGAACCCGACCCTTTGTGATTGCTACTAGTTTTGACTGCCTCACGTTCTTCGCGGGCAAGCTCCGAACAAATTTTTATTAATGTTGAGGTAGCAAGGCCGGCAACCGAGGTCCGGCAACGAACGAAGCACGGCACGCGAACGCGCGCCACCCGCAGCGCTTTTCAGCGCACAAGTCCCTCCCTTGAGCGGAAGGACACGGTCGGTCGAAACATGAAAAACACTCTCAACCACTTCATGACTGCAATGCACAGCGTGCAATTGTCATGGGGGAGAAGCAATCGCGCCGTAGCGCGTGGCATGAGCCTGCAGCCAATTCTGGATGGAGACCCTTAAGGTGTATCCTCCTGGCTGAGCTGGTGCCGTGACGAAGTCGGGAGGCAGAACTCGTCCACTGCAAAGTTCACAGTGGAAGTACTCATCCTGCATCCGGACATCCCTGCCCGCTAGACTGCTGCATTCTGCAGTCAAATGAAAGCGGCGGCCTCTCCTGCAAATCAGGACTCCGCGCTGCAAAGGGCACTCAGCTCGGTGGTTGTCCATCTCTCGGACACAGGCTCTCAAAAGCGCCGCACCCAGCGCAAGCAGCTGGTTGGACATGCAGCTTTCTTCCAGGATCAGGTTGAGCGATCTCTGGAATTCGTCCGCGGCTCTCTGCGCCTCCATGGCTTTCAGCTCCATGGTGTTCAGCTCACCTTGAAGCCTCTTGTTCTCGAGACGAAGGCGGTGAGGGACCAAGGCTTCTTCCTTTTGAACCCCGATCTCTGCGGTGGTGACCTGGGTTCGACCAACGCTCCAGCGACCGAGCAAAAACATAGTGCTCAGCAGCAAACAGATGGCGGTGGTGAGGATGAGCTCAAACATGCCAGCTCCCGTCTCCATGGTTTCTTCTTCGGTGGCAGCTGCCACTTGTGGTAAAAAGAAACACATCATGACCACGAAAAACTTCAGGGGGTTGCCAGCGACAAAGGACATGAGGTGCCATGGCTCGACATGGCTCGGACCGGCCCGGGAGACATACGTGAGCACTCCATTGGTGTGGGCCATGTAGCCAGCCAGTTGGTGCTCAGTGTTCATCTCATAGTTCTCCTCGGGGAGGTGGCTGTCCAAAGGAAACTCATGCTTCCCAACTTCAACTTCACTTTCATGGCCAGGCGAAGGCGCCGGCATCAACTTCACTGGGCTGCTGGCGGTCGTGCTCTCCTGCAAGCTTGCTTGGAGCTCTTCTTTTGTTTTCTTCTTTGCAGCCTTGTAGTGAGGATCCCAGGTCAGCTTCAGCTGTCCATATCGAAGACGTTGAGCCAGAAGCGTTCTCGCGCTCTCCTTTGTGAGGCCATCAGCCATTTGGCGCTCTGAAGACATCCAGCGCAGGCTGCCGCCCAGGGACAGAAGGCGCTCCTTCATGACCCGCACCTCCAAGGACACTCGTTTGTCCACAACTGAGCTGCCGACACCTTCACGGTGAAATGAATCGTACAAAGCCTTGGCGTCGGTCACCATGGTGGGCTCCAGAGGACACGGAGCTTCCAACAGCTCTTTCAGAGGTCGGCGAGGATCAAGGAGATGGTTCCAGTAGACGCACACATTCTCCAGGGCGTCACAGGCTTGGCCTCCGGCCTGAGCTTCTGCTCCCAAGGAGGAGCGAGCCACACGTGGAGTCTTAAGGCTCCTCCAGTCCAGCACGTGGTAGGCACCTTCGGGGCCATTGTGCTGCAACAACTCCTTGTTGATCATCAAGATGATGTAGCCAGCTTGTGAGCTGCCATCTGAACGTGTTGCGAAGGCAGCATCAAAAAAACACAGTACTCGCAGCTGGTTCAGTGAACCAAGATGCTCATAGCAGAGCCCAACATCGGAGTTGTCCTTGGCGAACTTGAGAAGGCGATTGCTGTCAGCCACAGTCTGCAAGGTGGCTCGTGTCACTTGGCCGCTCAAGATGGAGGTGCTTCCTTGTAGGTGAGGACTGGATTGAGTGGCAGGCCACTGCAAAGAGCCCAGCAGACCACGGAGTTGTGTAATCTCGCTCTCACTGAGGGATTCTGTGAGGTCTCTCTTCTTGTCATAGGCGATGGGCTTGACCTTCTTCATGTAGGCCGTTTGGTCCAGGACATGGCCTCCATTGGAGCTCGGCTTGATGTCACAGCCACAGTAGGTCAGGGCATCGTGGCCTTCATCGGTCTTCCACTCGCGGAAGGTGAAGGTGTTCTTGAGCTCTGCAATGGTGTCCAGGTAGCACTTGGAGTCGGAGGATCCACATCCCAACATATCATCAACATGCATGATGATCATGCCACACACGCCAAAGCTTCCCAGAAGGTGAGGTGAGACTGCATCAAAGTCAAAGTCCGGGTTGAGGTCACCTTCGCAAATCAGGAAGCAGCAAGGATCCAGTGGGTGCTGTCTCAAGCCCATGGCACGCAGCTTCTCCACAGCAGCCAGATACCATGCTCGAGGAGCGTCGATCTGGCCATAGCAAGGCTTCAGCAGAAGCATCCTGGTCTCAGGACCAGCGCCCAACAACTGGAGGCATTCAGCAGGAAGTTGGACCCAAAGCTTGCGTGCTTGAGGTTTTCCTTGCAGGAAGGCGGTGGAGATGTCTGAAGTCCAAACCCCCCAGGACATAGTGGCGGCTAAACTCAGCAAGACGGACCGGGACAGCCTCGTGGTTGTTGGTGATGAGGTTGGGACTGTTCCATCCCAGGCGTCCGGATCTTGGAATCCGCGCACGATGAGGCGTGCTTTTGCCCGTGGGGACCCGTCAGGGTGCTTGGACCATTTCAGCAACATTCTGCTGGTCAGTGTTCTTGAGGGCTGAGCTTCTCGGCTTGTTTCGAAGGCCCAGACATTGTTGTCGAAGAAGGACTGAAGTTCTTTCACCTTCGCAGCTTTGAACATGGCACGTTCGTCGGGCGTCATTGTCCGCTCGGACAAGGTGTTGGCACTCTTGTTCATCTTCTTGTGGTCCTTGGTGTGCTTCTGCTTGACCATTTTTCCTACTTGTCGTGCTCCATGAAGTGGTGCCTTGGCATACATGGCATACTCCTTGCGAACGGAGCCCTTGATCTGGAAGATCGTTGCGCCAGTCCATGAGGTGGTGCAAGGTGGCTTGGTGCATGTGCCATCATCGGTGGTTTGTGAGCATCGGCCATTGTTCTCATAGATCACTGTCACCCGAACATTGTCCAGATCGTGTACAGAGAAGGGTGCATCATCAGGCAGCTGCTGCAGGCTCATCTTGTGCCTCCGTGGAACACAGTGGTGGCGTATCAAACATCCAGCACGGACTTCCCAGTAGTCACGCTCCCTTTTCTCAAGCTCAAAGTAGCCATTGCGGAAATACCATCCGCTGGGCAGGGCATTGGTGTCAATGGAGGTCACCTGAAATGCCTGAGACATGAGAGCTTGTTCTTCTGCCTCTCCTGGTTGTGGTGGAGCTGGCGGAGGTGCAGCTGGTGCCTTTGGGATAGCCTCAGGGCTAGGCGCTGCACTGGGTTCTCGTGATCCATAAGGTGTGTCCGTCACTCGCCGGTTGCGAATGGGACCAAAGGAAATGGTCTCCTGCAAATTGAAGCGAGCCCGTCGCTGCTGAAAGGTCTCTGTCTCGATGTCATGGGGTTGATACAGCGAGGCAGTTGCAGGATCCAAGGCCATCGGTGACTCAGGAGGCAGATGAAGATCTCCATGAGGAGTGGGAATCGCAGGTTCTTCACTGGGTTCCGCAGCAGTGCTTGGCGGTCGTGATCTCGAGTGTCTGGACACTGGAGACTGTGGTGGACTCTGGGGCAATGGCACTTGTACCACATCAGCTGGTTGTGATGCCTCAGGTGGTGCTCGTGGTGATGTGGGCGCATGTCCAGAGTGTGCCGGTGAGGTCGGCGTGTAATCGCCACCATCGTCATCAGCCAGGGTGCTGGTGCTGCAGGTGGTTCAAGTCGGAGTCGATGTCGTGGTGGCTCATCAGGGTCACCATCATGTTCATCAAAAGAGCCATCGGCCTCATCCTTCATTTCATCTTCATCAACATCATCTAAGTGCTGTCGGTTGACGCGTCGAAGGTCAAAGTACCTGGTGACGCCGCGAGACTTCAGCTGTCGAACCTGGTTCGTGGCAGTCTGTAGGTCGTCCAACAGATGTTGAGGTCCAAGGATGTCGGCTCGAACATGATGCGGTGCTGCTCGAATGAGCTGAGTCTTGTAAGCCAACCAGTAAAGCTTGACCCGTTGGACCTTGTCATTGGTCTCCTCCTCCCTCAACACCACATAGGCGGGGCCAAGCCAGCGAATCTTGTTGAGCAGACCTTGGCGTGCATCTCTCCAGAACCATACACGTTCACCAACTTTGAACTCTCGATTCTGGCCTTGGTAGCGACGGCCAAGAGCACGGCGTAGCTTGTCATCAGCGTCAGCTGTGGTCAAAGCTACCTTGGCGGCTGTTCTGCGCTCCAGGATGTGCTCGAAGGTCCGGTTGTTGCCAGCCAGTTGAGATGGATTCAAGTTGGAACTCAGGAGATGTGCTGCTTCAGGTTGATAGCCAAGGACCCATTGGCTTGGTGAGAAACCTGCCACAGTAGGAGTGGCATTCTGTTGTGGGATGACATAGGTCAACGCTTCACGGATGCCGCTGCGGTCATGGAGTTTGCGGTCATCCAGGTAGATCTCACATGCTTTTCTGATGACGGCGTGTCGCCGTTCCACCAGGGCTAGGCGTTCATGAGCTTCCCCGGGTGCAACTTGGTGGTCTATGCCATGAGCACTGGTCCAGTTGTCGAAGATGCCGCTCAGCCAGGGTCGTCCTTCGTCAGTGATGAGCTGTCGGGGTGCACCAAAGTGTCGCAACCACATCTTTTCCAAGGCCTGGATGTAGGACTCAGAGGTCTCATCGGTGAGAAGGTAGCAGGCCATGTATCTGGTGCCAACATCGACAAGGCTCATAATGGAGAACTTGGTGTCCTGGCGCTTGATGTAGAACACATCAGCTTGGAGAGCATCGTTGAACTCTCTGGTAGTGGGCATAGTTGAAGGAGCACTCTGATTGGGCTTTCGATGCTTAAGGCAGGCCACGCACTTGTAGGCTCCAGCAGCGTTGATCACTGCTTCTGGGGCACCACGGGCGGCAAGCAGATCACCCAGGGCATCAGGTGTTGGATGACCCAGATTGCGATGAAGTCGTTGCACAACTCGAAGAGCATCTTGCCGATGTTCCACGTGGAGCTTAGACAAGTGTCCAAGTGGCTTGCCCATGTTCTCATCATCCACAGTGTACGCCCATTCCCAGGCGTGAGGAGCTTCAGGAACCATCAAGGCTGCTGCAAGTGTCGAGGCGAAGCCGGGCTGGTAGTTCTCGAGGTACGACGTTCGAGGACCGAGGCCAGTTGCATGGCCTTCCAGTGGGCAATGCTCATGGTCATGAGGACACTGCAGCGTGAAGGCCTCAGCGATGGCTTTCTTCGTAGTTTGAAACCTGGTGCCCTTTTGTACTGGCTTCCAAATGCCATCGACATCCAAACACATAGCTCCATAACAGCACTGGTCGAAGCTGACTGCGAAGCCAGGTAGATCACGCAAAGCACCAGTTTTCCAGCTCAGGGCATGTCGCGGTTGTTCAACAGTGGCGCGTCGCCCATTCTTGACCTGAGTGAGGTAACTTCGACGAACGAAGCGAAGGTGCCGTCGATGGTGGTGATCTCGACGTGCTTGTAGTGCTTCTTGTTGCGCAGGTGTTCGGCAGGCCAGTGTCTGCATGCGAGACCAGAGGCGACATTCAGGAGCCATCAACAATTCGTCAGGTTGTTCTTCATCAAGTCGGGCCAGGAATTGCTGTTGGTGCTTGATCAAGTTGAAGTCCCAGCCATTGTCAAGGCTGAAGGTTTCCACTCTCATGCCCAAGGATTCGGCGATGGAGGAAGTGCGGGCTTTACCAGTGCACACTTCCCAAAGCACTCGCCGTTGGTCTTGTGGTTCATGAAGGGACTGCGTGATGAGGTTCTCAGCCTCGGTGACTCGGGCGGTCAGTGCAAGCTCCATGGTGCGAAGAGCATGGCGAGGCAATCGGCTGGTGTCCAGCTCATCCTTGAGTTCATACTCCTCGGCCGTGAACACATGCTCGGCAGCATTGAAGTCAGGCAGATAGAGAGCACTGCCAGGCACTTCCTCAGCGATGTGCAGGGCAAGGAGGCTCTTGGTTGGGTCAGTCTGCCATTCCATGCCCTCAGTGAGCGACATCAGGTATTCGCCATGTCTGCCAACCAGAACTGGCTGCCAGGGCGAAGTGCCAAAGCGCAGCATGCGACCACTGAAGTCAATGCTCATGTGGAGAGCTTCGATGACTGGGCGACCCATCAACATAGGCGTGTTGCCCGGTACCAAGTAGCACTGGATTGTGCCCAGCTGACCATCAACCGTCACAGGCAGGTCGACTGTCCATCGAGCTTGGGCTGATGCATCACCTCCAAACTGAAAGCGACGCTCGCATCGAGCAAAGCGAATCTGGTTCACAGGATAGCCCAGCTCTTCCAAATGCTTGACGTAGCGCACGAAGGGACCATAGCCACTCAAGAATGCAGAAGCTCCAGGGTCCAGCATGGTGGCGTCGACACGTTCAGCTCCATACTCATCTTGGAAGAGGACGAGAGCTTCTTCAGACTTCAAAGCCATACCTTCAGTAGAGCCAGGTGCAGGTCTCTTGTTTGAGGAGGTCGGTGAAGAGGACTTCGCATTCTGAGGACAATTTGCAGCCCAGTGGCCAGGTTGGCCGCACCTCAAACAGTTGGTGGCCTTCGCACGTCCACGAGGATCAGCATCTTTGGCCGCAGTGTAGGGATAGCGGACCACATTCTGACCCTTTCCTTTTGAACCACTTGGGACAGGACCAGCACCGATGGGGACCGTGGTCTGGTTGTCAGTCAGCGCCACGACGGGCATGAAGCCTCGAGCCATCTTCAACTGTTGAAATCGTTGTCGGGCGTCCAAGTACGTGGCATAGGCATGGTCGTAGGTGCTGGCAAGTTCAGCTGGCTCATCATCCAATGGGGTTGACTCGTCATAGTCATGTTCTTCAAGTTCCCCATAGTAGCCAGCGTTGACATCGAATTCGGGGTCGTCCCCATAGTCTTCATAGTCAGGCTCAGGTGCCCAATCATCCTCACCCCAGTAGCCCTCCTCATAGGCGTCCCAGGCTTCAGGATCCTCCTCCATGGCCGCATAGCCGCGACCCTTCCAACGAGAAAAACGCTTGTCCTTCTCTGGCGCCCAGCCTCCAGCTTTGTAGTCCTGACCAAAGAGCAGGTAGATGGCCTCTATGACGTTGTTCTTCTCAAGGGTTGGTGCCTTCAGGGTCACCAGCTGGCGCTGTTCGCGTGATAGGCCAGCTCGTCTCAAGAGGTGCCATCCTTGGACTGCAGCGGGCAAAGTCACCTTGTGTCGGTTCAGGCGTCTGTAGGCCTCATCGTAGTCAGTGACATAGGCCAAGAGACTCTGCTGGGGCTTTCGCTGGAGTGTCACGAAGTAGAACTCGAAGTCGTTGGGTAGGGTGACACTGTCATCATACTCATAGTTCTGATCCAGCTTGGCGAGGATCTTGGAGAAGGAGTCCTCTTTCTCAGCATCTTCAACTGAGAAATCCTCAAAGAGGCGCCAGGTCACGCCTTGAAAGCTTCCGAGGATGTTGAGGATGGACTCACCTGTCCGCTTGCTGAGCTGCATCTTCTTGTGGTATAAGCTCAGCCTCTTGCGATACTCTCGGTAATCGCTTGGTTGGCCTGAGAAGACCGGGACATAGGAGTCGCGCAGGTTGTAGAGCTCGGAGGTCTCTTTCGCTTCTGCTGCCTGCGTCGGCATTCTTCTTCAAGTAGGTGGTCGTTGACCGAAAGCGCTCAACAAACGGGGCAATGAAGAGCTCGGCAACGTGTTGGTGACGCGGGACTTCCGCAGAACCGCGTTGACCTCAAAACGTAGATCGCAGAGCCCCGGAGGGCTCCGCTACCAATGTTGAGGTAGCAAGGCCGGCAACCGAGGTCCGGCAACGAACGAAGCACGGCACGCGAACGCGCGCCACCCGCAGCGCTTTTCAGCGCACAAGTCCCTCCCTTGAGCGGAAGGACACGGTCGGTCGAAACATGAAAAACACTCTCAACCACTTCATGACTGCAATGCACAGCGTGCAATTGTCAATTAAACTAAAGAAAAAGAATACGTCTCTGGGTCTGCACTGAGGCAAACAAGTTTTTGAAGCAAAGCGTGGACTTGCGGAGACAGGCGAAGACATATCAGGGAACAAACTGCGGTGAACTACAGAAATATTTAGAGTTGAGCGGAGCAAATGATTCCGTTTTTTGCTTCTGAACTTTCTTGCCTCAGATCCAGTTTCGCAATCTGAAGATCAAAGCGCTGTTCGGTGACCTCGGGAGGACGAAGAGTATGTGCAGAGATCGATTGTTTTGAGCAAATGCGATCCAGTTTCATCCGTTCAAAGTTTCATCCGGTTTTTTTGATTGACTTTCTTTCAGGTACCTGCGTTGCGGCCGTGATCTTGTACATTGCCATGTCGCTTTGGCAGAGTATGGAGTCCATCCAAACAAGCTCGAAATTGAGAAGGGTTTGTTTTTTGTGGTTGGGGAGTCAAATCTTGCCAGCCCACCAAACTCAAGACCAGCAGCATGCGCCCTATGCGCCAGGCCATTCATCAACTAGTGCGACCACTGAGTTCATGCACTCTAGTGTGACTCAATGCGCAGTAAGGAGCAATCAGCAGGAACACAGAAGACCCTTTCAAAAGATAGCATGGCGTTACAAATAGTAACAAATGCATTGCTATTGGCAGCAAACAGCTAATTGTTGCCTGGTTTTAAGAGTTCCGCTTGCTCACGGACCATTGCACAGAGACCCCTGAGTCGCTCAAAGAACGCTTGGGAGTCAATACGTTCAAAGACTGCGCCTTAAAAAGAATGCAATCTTATGCTTTTTTGGCGTGTCATGGATTTGAACGTTGCATGGAGTCGCATTAGAAACATTGTCAATATTCAGGATCATATATATTATACAAATTTTTGTGGATAATCGTTCTATATTTCGATTATAATTTCAAGGGATCGAAAAATAGATCTAATAATTTAATATACTTATAATATACAAATAAGAAATAATTAAACAATGTATTAAAGGATTTAAATATATAAATATACCATATATATTTTCTTTTTTTGATAATAATTGTTTTTAAAAACTATTGAAGCGGGTTGAAATGAATGGGATATAAAATGGATTATATTTAATATTTTTATATTTTAGATTAGATATTTTTGTTGGTGTTTTTAATAATGAGTTTGGGCTACGTGAAATTTTTAGTTTTGTATATTGATTTTCTGAGTTATACGAATATATATTACGATGAGTAATGATTGTTGCTCGTTTGATATATTGGGTCTAACTTGTTTTAATATTGATAAGCATTTCGACGGAACGTATGAACTTATGGGCATTGTTATTTATAATTCTTATATGTTTTGTTTTTGCGAAAGTTGGGGCCGTATTTGTATGTATAATTACCCGTGTATTTGAATTGAATTCGGTTTTTGCAAATTATTTTAGGTGATTTTGTTTTTCGAAATTTGAGGGAATTTGGCATTATGATGCGAAGGAAATAATTATTATTTTCGTATTATGTATTTTGTTGCTTATTATTTTACAAGTTTAACATAAACGACTCGCGGTTAGTCGCCTTTGAATTCTACCCCATTAGATTTTTGCTTATTTACGTCGCCGAAATTGCCGTCGTTGATGAAGCCTTGTTGAATTTGATTTGGTTTTTTTAATTGATGCGGAGGGTTAATAATCGGATTTGTAGCTGGAGTGGTTCTCGCTCACGAAGTCGGAACCGAGCAAAAGACGTTCGAACGAGTTCGAAGTACAAGGACGTAACGAAACGTCGCGCCGCGGCCAGCTTTTTAGCTGATTCGAGCCCGCCCTCTCGGAGCGGAAGGTATGGTGCAAAACGGAAAACATGACTCCCAGCGTGCGTCATCACACGGGGCAGTTATTGGCTGGGCGCGGAATGTCTCGATGCGTCTGCCAGCCATTGGTACATGTCCTGCCGGATGTTCCATCCCTGTGGATAGATCGTTCGATCCGGGGGTGGCAAACAACCTGCACAGTATGCGCAGCCACGGACAACCACTAGGTTGTGAGGAGCGATTTGCTCGGCTACATGACATCCTGACATGTGCCAACACTCACCTTTCTTTGAAACATGAATCTCTCTCAGGAAGGGGCACATCTCAGCGTGGTGGTCCATCTCACGCTCAAGGGCTTTCAGGAGGCTTTCAGCATCCAGCACTAGACCTCGTAGGGCCTCCACCTCCGGCTCTTGCAAAGCTAGGGCTGCTCGGGCTTCTTGTGCAGCTGCCAAGTTCTTTTCTGCTCTTCGTGTCACCTCAGTCAGGTCCCGCTTCAGGTCCAGGTTGAGCTCTCGCAGTCGTTGCGGGACGACCTGTTCTTCCTTCTGCACTGCCGCATCAGTCAGCTGGGGCTTTGTGGATGATGCCGTCCAGCGTCCCACTGAGAAAACGGTGGCCATGGCAAACATGTGGCATGCTGCTAGCACCAAAATCCAAAAGGACAGGTAGTCGGGCTCTTCGGTGGGCTTTTCCAGCGACACTTCAAAACATGTGTCTTCTGCCCTTGCAGCAAAAACCATGAAAAAGCAAACCATGAAAAACATGACATTCTTCAAGCGACTCAGGTCCATGGGGTGCATGCGGGAAGCGACATGGCTGGAGCTGAGGACATACACAAGCGGCTTGACATTCTGTGTGTAGTGCACAAACTCACACAGCTCTTGGTCATTCTCAGCCTGGTGCTCATTCTGTGGCTCGTGGGACTCGGCAGTCACTTCATGCTCAGATAGCGGGTGCTCATTCTCCATGTTCCACTCTTCTCGCACGGCCTCTTGGCCTGGTGGTTGCTCGAGGTTGGTGGTGGACTCTTTGATGGCCTCAATGCGCTGAGCTTTGGTCTTCTTCTTGGCTGCCGTGTAGGATGGATCCCACGTCAGCTTGAGGCGACCATGACGTAGCCGAGACGCCAGTAGGGAGCGAGCGCTTTCCTTTGTCAAGCCGTCGGCGATCTGCCGTTCTGAACTCATCCATCGAAGACTGCCTCCAAGGCATTCCATTCTTTCCTTCATCACCCTGATCTCCAGGCTCACCCTCTTGTCGATGACCGAGGAGCTGATTCCTTCTCTATGGTAGGAATCATAGAGGGCCTTGGCATCTGTCACCAAGACGGGCTTCAGGGTGGACTTCGCCTCGATGAGGTCCTGGAGCCGTAGACTCGGCTGGAGGAGGTGCTGCCAGAAGCGACATGTGAAGTCGACGGAGTCGGCGGCTTGTCCTCCTGCTTGCGCTTCGGCGCCCAGTGAGCTTCTCGCCACTCTTGGCGTTTTGAAGCTTCTCCAGTCGATCACGTGGTACTCGCCTTCCTCGGAGGAGGTGAGAAGGCTCTGGTTGACCAGGAGGGTGATGTAGCCACCTTGAGAGTTGCCGTCTGGCCGTGCAGTGAATCCAGCATCAAAGAACGTTATCAGCCGTAGGTCCTGTGGCTCTCCGATGTAGCTGTAGGTCAAACCAACATCTTTGTTGTCCTTGCAGAATCGGAGGAGCCTGTTGCACTCATGCAGGGTCTGAACCGTGGCCTTCGTGGACTGGCCTGACAGCATGGAGGTAGTGCACTGTAGGTGTGGTGAGCTCTGTACTGCTGGCCATTGAACTGAACCAAGTAGGCCTCTGATTTGCGTGACCTCACGTTCGTGCACTGACTCGCTCATGGGGCGGTTCTTGTTGAAGGTGATCGGACTGATCTTCCCCATGTAGGATTCCTGGTGCAGCTTGCGACCGCCTTCAGGCGTGGAGGTGAGCTCACAACCGCAGTATTCCAGCTTGGGAAGGTCTTGTTTCCATTCCCTGAACGAGAAGTTCTCCTTGAGGTGCTGAATCACTTCGGCATAGCGTGGTGACTGAGGGCATCCACTGCCAAGCATGTCGTCGACATGCATGATAATCATTCCAACCAGCTTCTCATCACCGAGGCTGCGAACTTGTTCCTGGATAGGGTCATCAGCATTGTAGTTGGGGCTGTCGGTCTCATGAACCAAGAAGCAGCAGGGATCGAGCGGATGTTGTCGAAGTCCGGCTCGCAACAGCCTGTCAACAGCTTCCAGGAACCATCCTCTTGGGGCATCGATTTGTCCGTAACAGGGCTTCAACAGAAGCATGCGGGTGTCTTCATCAGCTCCCAGCAACTGAAGGCTTTCTGCTGGAAGTTTGACCCATAGCTTTCGGCTTTGAGGACGTCCTTGAAGGAAGGCAGTGGAGACGTCAGCTGTCCAGGTAGACCACTGCATGTTGGCTGCGAGCGACAGAACAAAGCTTCTGCTGAGCCTCGCGGTGGTTGGACTTGAAGTGGCAACTTGTCCTGCTAGGGCGTCAGGATCATTGTATCCTCTGACGATGAGGCGTGCCTTTGCACGTGGACTCCCATCTGGGTGTTTCGACCATTTCAGGATCATCCGGGAGGTGAGCGTCCGGGCTTCGTCGGTCTCGCTCTTGTGTTGAAACTCCCAGACTCCATGGTCAAAGAATGACTTGAGTTCCTTGACCTTGGCCTCTTTGAACATGGCTCGTTCATCTGGGCCCAGGGTGCGTTCATTGACGCCGTTCTTCTCTTTCTTGAACTTCTTGGCTTTCGCCAGCTTCTGGCTTTTGGCTTCTTGCTTAGCGCTGGTGAAGGCCTGGTGTGTGCCGGTGTACATGGCGAGTTCTTTTCTGGTGGTGCCGTTCAGCTGGAAGATGGTACAGCCTGTCCAAGCTTGGTGGCTGTCAGGTGGTGGACTGGTGTTGGTGCCATCATCTGTGAACAGCTTGCTTTTGCCTTCTGGTAGGTGAACCATTGTGACCTTGACTCGGTCGAGGGCATCGGTCGGGACCGGACAGTCCTTGGGCAAGGCTTCAAGCGTCATGCGGCCACGTCGAGGGATGAGATGATGTCGAATGAGACAGCCAGCTTTGACTTCCCAGTAGTCAGCCACCTTGTCGGTGAGGCTGAGGTATCCCTCTTCATTCACGTACCAGCCTTGTGGAAGTTGGGAGACGTCAATGTCTTCCACAGTGAACCCTTGGTCAGTCAGACCTGTCTCTGGTGGATGATCGGTGGACCTTGGTGCCTCAGTGCTGTGTTCTGCTTGTGATGGATAAGGTTCCACTGACGGGCCTCGTCTGTTCCGCCAGGGTGCAAAGCTGAGAGTCTCCTGTCGGTTTAGCCGGAGACGCTGTTGTTGGAAGGTCTCGGGTCCAGCTGGCTCATAGAGTGCTGCTGTGGCCGGATCAAGTGTCGGGCGAATGTTCGCCTTGGGAGTGGGGACCCCAGATCGGGTAGGTGGTTCCTCACTGGGTTCGTCACTTGCAGCATCGCTGCCAACTGGTATGTCGGCTGGTGCAGGAGGTCCAGGAGCATCGCCTGCGGGTTGGTCATCGCCTGGTTCTGTTGGTGCATATTCGGACATGCCTGGGATCTCTGGTTCCCGAGGTGGGACTGAGATGGCATTTGGTGCCTCTGGTGCCGGTGTTGTGGCTTCTTCAATCGCGAGGCGAGCACGCCTGCGAGGTGGTGCCATTTCGTGATCTGAGTCAGATTCCAGATCACCGCCTTCGCCATGCTCATCTTCTTCGACATCGATCAGGTTTCTCTTGTTGAGCTTGTGAAGGTCATAGTACCGGGA